ACCTGTGGAGAAGGGAGTGGTTGGTTGTTAGTCATAGAGTCAGACGTTGATGGGCTGTGGGCTTAAGGGTTTTGGAGCCTGTTTTCTTTAGTTAACCTCTCCATGGCCATTGATAGGCCCCTACCGCAGTTGTTAGGCCCATATCTATAAAATGTGTGAGGGGTTGTGTGTAGTTGGGATACTATTGCTTAACATTTAGCCACTTTTATTGTCCAAGTAAGCTCCTGCTTAAACCTCAAATATCGGTTTTGGTCAATTAAAGGCCACATAAAAAGACGCATATAACAAGACGTAAGAAGTTGTGCAATTACTATTGGATGTGGTAACTTTTATTCACAGCATTACTTTTCTGTGATGCACAAATCCTTGCGTAAACGATGTGTGTGCGCACGGAGCATGCGCGGTTGCAGAAAGGGTGCGCTAAGAGGGTGTTTGCTCTGCCCTGCTCTGCGTGCGAGAGAGGAGTGGTTTCTAGGCTTCCCGAGGAATGCAGGTAAATAATACGCACGATACGTTTCCATGACAACTTTTGATGTGGTGAGGTTTCCTACAGCAGTGCTTACTAAAGAGAAATAGGGTTTACCTTTGTCTTTAGATAACCCGCAATCTCCTACTTTGAGTGCTGATCATCGACACATTTAGAGAGACTCAATGAGGCCAGTTGCTGCGAGTTCATTAGGATAACTAAAAGCAGGATAGATTACATAACAGCAAACGTTTAGGGTTAGGATCCTAGAATAAGAGGAAAGTTAGTTGAAATGTTGTTGACAGTTACTGAACATGAACATCTACTGAACATCTTACAACATACTGAACATCTAACAAACCATCTAAAGTGTTAGCCTGCCAAATTATTATATGAGTAAGAAATGTGTCAGACAGCATCAGACAACAACTTGCTTGAGCCAAATGTCAACTTGCACATAAAAAATAACTGAGGGTATTTGTACCCGACCACCTGAGTCATAGAGGAGACTGTTGTTTGCTTACAACTTCTCGTAATTCTTTAAAAGTCACACCACCAGAATCTCCCACGCACTTGTTTAGCCCCTGCGCACCAAATCCATGGCAACCACTTGTTGAAGCCTCACTGCCCTTTGCTAAGAGATTGGATGAATTCTACCAGAAATCCTCCTTCCTACATACACCCCACCCCTACACCTCCCTCACAACAACCTCACCAAAACCAACCCCCATCTGAATGCACAAGGCGCACAAGCTGGCCCTTATCTAACTTCCGCAATACAGGGGCACTTTATAAGGACTTTTGTCCAATTATAGGCTATAGATCACTAAAATAATGTTGTCAAACGTATAGGCCCATATTTGACAATTTAAAGATTCCTATAGCTACACAGTTCCACCACTGATGCCAAAGAATTGGTGCAACAAAATATTCTCCACACACAATTGATTAAAGTTTCTCTTTCTTGCGAATGTATTTAGTTATAGACCAAGTTGTTCAACTGTCCAAATGCTTGGACCAAATTAATATTCCGAGGTGTGCGTGTGGTTATGGGCCGGGGCTATTGTAGTGGGGGCCAATTTACTAGCTTTCTTGTCTAGTTTCACAGCCCTAAGTTGCCAGGGAAACGACAGGCCATGTTGGTAGAGCTGGTTCCTGAATGTCAGATTGTCATAGAGGGAGAGCGAGCGAGCGAGAAGGGGAGGGGGGGGCTTACTCCCCCCTCTAACGCACTCCACTCCACTCATCTCTTCCCCTAGCTACTCTCCCATCCCCTCCCCTCTACCCTGCGATTAGCCTGCGCAGGCTCTTCAATTTCCATGAGAATGGCGACGGGCGGTGAAAGGGTTAAGCCTGAGCCGGAGAAGAAGGGGCGACGAAGCCCCCCGAATGCAACGCTAATTTTCTGCTCGGCGGGGGAGCGAGAGAAAGGGAACAAAGCTCTCCGGGGGAGTCGGTGAAGACTCCGCGGCTTTACTATGTGCACCTGCGAGCTCAAAAGCTACTGACAATGTGCCTCCGAAACGGACAATTACGAGCCGGGCCAGCCACCCGCCTTCTCTCTGGAGAGGGGAGGGATGGGAGGGGGCGGGATTTTAAAAGAAGGGTATAAGAGAAGAAAGTAAATGATCGACCCTAAATCATTCTACACCACTCCCCCCCCCCCCCCCCCCCCCCCCCCCCCCCCCCCCCCCCCCCCACCGGCACCCCTCTGTTCTTCTCCAATCTCACAAAACTTTTTTTGTCTGACTCCCTCGAAAGTTTTATTTTAAGCATCCCCAAGCATAACGGTGTCCACCTGTGGTGCCACTGTTTAAACGTAAACCCAGCTCATTTTGATTGAGCGCGTGATGTCAGGCCTGCGATTGTTATTTTGTGTAATGATTGCCGCGGACAGATGAGGTATAACTCAAACAGCTGAGCTGCCAAAGCTGAATAGGAGCAACTGAAAATGTGTTGTAAAACATTAGCAGGCACCTTTATAGGGCCTATGTAACAAAACAAAAAGCATAAAAACGTAAATCTATTGGCTTGCTTTAACTACTGGATTAAGTTAGTATCCCTCACTTGAATGAATTTATTGAAGCCTGTATTAGGCTATGTATTTAATTCTGAACTTTGACCGACAAACTAGGCCATCTCCATCGAATTATAAAACCGGCTCCAAATGATTCCCATATCAAAACCTTCTCATTTGAATCGACCTCTCAATCTGACGTGTGTAATCTGTGTATTATGCTAATTGGCACAATTTACATCTATACTGGGTCAGACATTTCCCATTTAGAATAGTTTATGGTGCGTCATCTTATTGAAAAGACTAGATTGCAAAATAATGAATAGGCCTACAAGAGTGCATTTCCAAAAGTCAGTGAACAATTTTATATAGCCTAGAGCAGCGTTTCCCCAAACTCGGTCCTCAAGGGGTGCACGTTTTGCTTTTTGCCCTAACACTACACAGCTGATTCATATAATCCAAGCTTGATGAGTAGATTTAAAAAAAAATCAGCTGTGTAGAGCTAGGGCAAAAACTCAAAACGTGCTCTGAGTTTGGGAAACCCTGATCTAGAGAATAAAATAAGTTGTGGTTTAATGTTCCAAGAAACGGCTGAAAGCCTGCAACAAATATTTGGAGACCAGTTTTTTTTTATTAATACTTTTGTCATCCTTGCCACAGGTGAACATGACAGTTTAAAAAAATAAAAATATTCAAAAAAAAACTTAGTATCAGGCCCTTAAGAATATTTATACACCATGCACAAAAGTTGCAAGCTTTTTTCCCCTCACTATATACAACCAGGATTGACCTAAATAAAAATACAGCAAAAAGTTCAGTAAAAAAAAGTTCAGTTTTACACACTTGGATTGCAATGTAAACATTAATGTGTTTCATTACTTTCAAATAAATTACAATTTTTAACCCTACCTCAACTTAAGTTATTAGTAGTGACTAATTCCCATTTCAATGCAAGCAAGTTCTTGTTAGTGGATTGCACAATACTAGGAGACTGTCAGAACATGACCAGTTCTATCCAGTGTTAGAATGGTTCTAGAATTAGAATGGTTCTACCACTTCCATAGCCTAGATCACCCACTTTTACTATATAAAAACGTTTTAGAAGCACTGTTGACTAAATGAATCATAAATGTGGGTTAGCAGGGGTTGTCAAATGAAGAAAAATTAACCCAAGTCTTCAAGCAAGCAACTTTTGAGAACTTTATGCCAACTCCTTTTATAGAATAATTAAAGGAAAATGTTACGTGTATCTGAAAATACCTTAAGCAGACAACTCAAACACAAAATGAGAAGTTGGATAACTTTGAGAAGTTTATTGTAAAATAAAATGATTTGATTCTCTACCGTTAGTTACCCAGGCAGAGTGTCATAACAGTTCTTGGTTGAACAAGTCTGTAAAAAGTAAAAATCCATACATACAGTTGCCGAGCTAGTGAACATTAAAGTGTATTTTGTAAAAAATAAAAACTAGCTAAAACTTTGAGGTGGAGTAAACAATTAAATGGAATGCAGCATTTGAATAACAGTTAAGAGTACTTGTATGAACAAAGTTAAAACCTGCAGAATACAGAGGACATTTGAACAGTAAGCACTATAGCAACTTGGGACTTTGCCAGCAGCGTAACTCCTAACATTTACAAAAAGGGTCCAAATCAAAATGGCAGACTAACAAACAATAACATGGTGTGTTAAAACTCATTGCAGGAACAAGGCATAATGTTAACTTTAAACCATGCTGTTATGTTAAACATTTTATACTTAAACCAAACTCAAATGCATTAGTATGGGGTTTGGACATAAGAGTCACCACATACCAATGAAGTTGAATTCAGGTAGAATAATTTTGTATACTCATTTCCATTGTATCCAGTAAACTCATAAGATTGTCCAACAGACTATACCATGTCATCCGATGGGATCGGATTGGCTTTAAAAACAAGAGCACTTATATAACCAAGAGGCCATACATATATATATATATATAAAAAGTGTCACTCTTCATTCAAGTTATGTGCGTTTCTCCCTCTCTAGTTCACTTCACTAGCAGGCGTTTAGTTGATTTTTCGAGATGATCCGTTCTGAGGCAGGCCCCATTGGGCCACTCACACACCCCCAGTTCTGGAATCAGAATATTTTCAATCCTTGTGGCAGGTCATGTGATTTGTATGTCACTGGCCCTAGGAGGACCTTGATTGGCTAACCCGGTTGCCAGTGTGTTGTGTTCACATGGTGGGGCCCCTCCATTGTGGCTCTCTGTCTGCATCCCAAAGGGCGCCCTATTCCCTTTATAGTGCACTACTTTTGACCAGGGCCCGTAGTGCTCTGATCCTAATTGGTGCATTATGGGTAATAGGGTGCTATTTGGGACACAAGTCGTGTCTCCCTCCCGGTTGGTTTGGTTTAGGTCGTGAAGATTACCCATCAACCCAAGGGGGTCGACGCCACTGTGCCAATAGGAGAATACAATGGAACATTGTGAACATTATAGAGTCATGTATGTTGTAACATGCATAGAGCCTGGGAGTTTTTGAATGGAAGATGTCAAGGTCAGTTTTGTCAAAGAGAGAAAAAAAAAAGATGTACACTTAAACGTTGCAATCATCATGGAGAGAAGTAAAGATCGTATGTACAATACAGCAGTCCTTCATAGTTCACAGAGAAGGGACAGGTCTCCGTCCAAACAGTGGATGGGCGACTGAACAAACCACCCAGTCTTGGGACAGGGGACGGGGTGGACGACGAAGGGATTCTAGTCAAAATTGCGGAGGTAGAAAAATAACCTTTCATATTAAGTCACTGCCGTTTATAATGCAACACGGGACCATCGTGAGTGGGTCTGAGGATGTGGTGTTCAGTTCGGGGGGTGCGTTTTAACTTGTGTCCGGGCACACCCAACATCAGTCCCAGACACTACCAACACCGGCCCCTAGATATGAGTGAGGGGAACGGTCCCACTGAGATAGTGTTGCTGGACACTGTAGCCTCCTCTCTGGGCGGCCGGGTCACTGGTGTCCCCGCCGGGGATGTACATACTGATCATATCCCTCAGGTCCCCTTGGAGTGGCCCGCGGTGGAGGTTAGTTCCACCAGTCGGGGAGTGTGACACCGGCTCTGGCTTCACCATGGACATGACTGGGCTGGGCTGCTGGGAGCTGCTGCTGTAGGACATGGGGCTGGGGAGGCGAGAGGTACGGTTAGTGACTGGACAATATCAATGTTATGCCATGCAATGCCACAGTGTGACATGCTACAGTGTAAAGTGCTACGATGTGACATTCTGAGCCATGCAACTGAAGTTGAATTCAGGTAGAATTGTAGCATATATAGAACAGACCCATTACACTAATAATAATAATAAATAATAACAGCAACTTTCATAGCACTATTCATTACATAAAGAATCTCAAAGCGCTTTAAAGCATCAGATGGAAGGTTCTGTAACATTGCATCCTCTTGAAATAGCCTCAAACTCAATACGGTGTAATTTGCGATTCAGTGGGTTTACATTTACATTTTAGTCATTTAGCAGACGCTCTTATCCAGAGCGACTTACAGTTAGTGAGTGCATACATTTTTCATACTGGCCCCCCGTGGGAATCGAACCCACAACCCTGGCGTTGCAAGCGCCATGCTCTACCAACTGAGCTACAGGAGGGACTATAGCTATAATTTAAAAAAAGGGCTTATTGATTGAAAGACCAACCCATCTGAATAAAAATGATTATGTTGCATTACAGGCTTGACTGATGTGACCAATAGAAAATAACTTCCAATCACCCTGCAGACTGACAGACTTGATTGATGTGACCAACAGAAAAGGAACTGCCAGTCACCCGAAGGGAGAGCCCTATACACGTGATGGAATTCACCATGTTTACAAAAGGCATGGGGCTTGGGCCTGGGCTGGGGACAGCTAGGGCAGGTCCAGACTGGTTAGGCCACCAACATGACTACTGCACTGGGAAGTGAACGACATTCTCATTTAGGCTCACATCTAAATCAGAATTCACCATAAACCAAAGAAAAACTTCAGGAGAGAAAATTTGAAATATCTTAAGACTGAAAAGGAGTTGGTTAAATGTTAAGAGTATGCTTTTTTGTTTTGTTTTAAATTCACTGGCTTCTCTAGAAGAGGTCTGGGAGAAGGCACTGAAGCGGACTAGAGGATTGTGGGTAAAGGACCACACACACTCCCATAGTGGGCCTCTTCACATGCTCATTCCATAGGCCTGAAAACAAGTAAACAACCTACTTAACCTAAATTAAACTCAAACGAATAACCTATTTAATATTGAGTAAAGTTCTGAAGACAAAAGGTATAATATTTTAATTAATTAAAAGTTAATTACAGTTCTAACTTAAGGGTTTTAGGCCTATACTGGTCCTTTGGAAAAAATAATAAAAATGATAATCATTAAAAATGTGCAGTATATTTAGTCTTTTTCTGAAGAAAAAAATTGCAAAGAGAAAACAAACGTTTTGGCTCTGTGCTGGGGTGGGTGATCATTGTTGTGAGTCATGACATGGGTTATAATTAATCTTAATTTCTGACACGCCAGCAGATCCAGTTTTGCAACAAACAGATGACAGATTATCAGATTCACTTGTGTGAGTGTGTTGAAGTGTTTGCCCATTTGATTGACTAAACTATAATAACTCAATCAACTAGGTGAAAACATTGTAAAGTGGTTATCCCACTGGCTATAAGGGGAATGCACCTATTTGTAAGTCGCTCTGGATAAGAGCGTCTGCTAAATGACGTAAATGTAAATGTAGGTGGGATAAAAAAAATACCCTTCATTATAAAAAACATTATTCTAATTGTCTAATAGATATTTTAACACAACTAAAACGAAATAGAATAGGTAAAGCCTACAAATATTGAAATAGGCCTACTGCAATTGACAACGCAGTAAAAAGCAAAAGTAATGATAAAGGGTTTAATAATTTCTTGGCTTTCAGAATAATCAACCACAACGTATTATTGTGCTGTTGTAATTAGGCCTAAGGGTAGCCTATACCCGAGACCATTTCATGGGATTAAGCAATTGGTTTTGATTATTGGAACATTGATTCGTCATCTTCAATAGCCATAGCCTTCCACTGTTTCACTTCGAGAAAGTGAGTGCCCTGGTTATCATTACAGATATCAAGTGCCTGGTTATCATTACAGATATCAAATCTTCCAATTCAGATTTTACACATACACACAGAGAGAGAGGCCATTCATAGCAGGATACAAACGTTCAAGCAAGTGTTGAAGTAGACCAAGGTTTATGAGGGTGACCTCTTCAAGCTTATAATACTTAATAAACCAAATAACAATCGAATGAAATGCTCAATTTAGTGGAGCTGATGTTGCCTGGGTGTCCACAATTACAACGGGCATAATGGAAAAACAAGAAGTACCCGCAAACCTTTTAACTTAAAACTATCATTACCTAAACTGGAATTATGTGTAGTCCATGTGCATGTGACGCTACATGTTGTCCCTCAAGTCATTTAACACCAGAACATGTGGAAGAATGGAACAGAACATAGCCTACCTGTAGGTGTTGGCTCCATTCATATACGTCTGTGCTGCCGTCATGGCCTGGGGGTACTGGAGCGCGGACAGGTCGTAGCGGTGCAGCTGCTGAGTGTAGCCGAGGGCCTCGTTCTGCATCCCCGCGTAACCTCCCGCTGGGCCCCATCCGTAGCTCTCCATTCTAGCGCTCCCACCTTGGCCCTGCGCGGCCAGCAGGTTCCCGGCGGAGAGAGGGTACTTCGCCATCTGGTTGTCCTTCTTGAGCAGGGGCTTGGTCTTGCGCCGTGGCTTGTACTTGTAGTCGGGATAATCCTTCATGTGCACTGCCCTGAGGCGCTTGGCTTCGTCGATGAACGGCCGCTTCTCCGCGTCTGTAAGCAGCTTCCATTCGGCGCCCAGCCGCTTGCTTATCTCAGAATTGTGCATCTTGGGGTTCTCCTGGGCCATCTTGCGGCGCTGGCCCCTGGACCACACCATGAAGGCATTCATGGGCCTTTTGACCTTGTCCATGGGGTCCCCGCCCGGAGGGCATACGGATTTGGACCCCGGGTGAGAGTTGCCAATGTTACCGGTGACCGGGGACATGCCCTGGGAGGTTTGGTGCTGCTGCTGTTGCCCAGAAGGCTTCAGCTCGTGTTCCATCATGTTATACATTGTTGTTTGGAACTTTGAAAGTGTCTCAGTTCAAAATTGTATAAAAGTAAACTAAACCGTCACAGCCTCTGCCGCCTGTTATAGGCGACTTTTGGCCGGGTGGTTTTCCTGTTCTGGAACGACAAGTGGAAGCCGAGAGCACAAAGTCTTCCTAATTAACTAATAAGAACACAGAAGACACACCCGATTCGAACCACGGGGATTAAATTACGAGTTGGCGTGTAAAGCGGTCATTACCTCAATCAAGCGAGAGAAAAGTAAATTCAAAAGTTCGACGAATTGTTTGAGCTGTTTTAAAAAACAAACACTACTTCGTTCAAACAGTAGGATCTCTCTCGGCGCAGTTACAGACAACCACTTGTAGCGCTTCGATTCTCTCAAACTGAAGAGACCTGCGTGATGACAAAAAGTTATTCTTCCCTTTCACTCCTGCGGTTTTTCAGAGACAATTGTATTCCAAGAGTCCTGACCAATCCCCGAGCGCGATGGGCTTCCCCCGTGCGCGTGCTCATTTGCATCAACATAGGCAGGGTGAGGCGCGAGCTGCATGTGCTGGAAGAGCGGGGCACTTGTTGATGAGCAATAGGAAGTTTGTGAGATGGACGGGGTGCTTTTCAATGAGAAAAAGTAATAACCCCGATACACCCATTCAAAAGTGTGAATTTAGCTCCAATTATTATAATGTAAAGTTAAAAAATCATTCGATGGTATTGGTAGTTTGACACACAGCGTGCGCATGGATGGGTGTGCATAAAATCCGTCTACTTGCTGTGCTTCCATGATTAGGAGTAAAACACAAAACATGTAAACAGATTATATAACAGATTACAGATTATATAATATATTTTAACACATTTAATCGACATTTCTTTCTTGATAATGTCAAGACAATTTAAGGCTATTGCATAGGAGGCTACTTCCATTGCTCTTGTAACCACAACAACAAAGTCCACAACAACAGCAAACAATTTTTACCAAACGAATCAACACAGTGTGTTGTGTCAGAGTGTGTCTGCTGCATTTTTTCTAGACGTCTGACCTCGTTCAAACGATTGTTAGCCTATAAAGACGTTCGTGGCTTCTATACATGGTATTGATATGCTTACAATGGCACACAGAATTCCCGTGGGGTTCCATGAGAATGAGGTCTGTTGGTTCAGCCAAATAGACGCTTTTCTTATGCTGGAGTTCCAATGGAATACCGGTAGGTCAATTTTTTCCCAAACCTACCAGGGGCATTCTGGCTCTCTATCAACCCAGTACCCAACTTCATTCTTCCTTTCATACCATTATTTTTGAAAGAATAAAGACCAGTCCTCATTCAAGTGATGTCTAG